GTCGGGATGTCGAAAGCGTCTGGGTCACCCTCAGGGACTAGGAGCATGGAGCACAGATGGGGAGCAGCCTCAGACAGGAAAGCAAGCTTGAACTGGCGGTCCTCCAGGACGTCACTGCCGAAGGCAGGAGCACCCCCGAGAGACGGAGGACAGGCAGGGTCAGAGACCAGAGCGGTGGCGTAGTCAAGGCGGCGGGTAGAGGCGAAGTCAACGACCGTAGCGACAAGAGCGTCAAGACACGAGAGAGGAACCGACGGGTCGGTAACGAGAGAGAGGCGAGGACCCGAGGAACAAGAGGACGAGCGGCACGAAGGTAGTCAAACAGAGGAGGAGGCGCAATGGAAAGAGAGGACAGAGGAGGCGACGGTAGAAGGGGAGGACGAGACGCGTGGGAACGGAGCAACATAGGGTGAGAGCGCGTGACCGGGGAGACAGGACGAGCGCGGGAGGGACGGCGGGACCAAACGTGAGACGGAGGCGTTGGGTCAGGAGACAGAGGAGGGGACACAAGGGGGGAGCAAGGGGGAAGACGAGCCGGGGACGAGTCCGCTGGAGGGAACACAGGGCCGTAGACAGGAAGAGGAGGAGACGGCAGGAGAGGGACGGACGCAGGGTCAGGGGACGGAAGGCCGAGCAGGCGAAGGGCTGACACCGGCGGGGACTGCTGCTGCGGCGGCACAACACCAACACCGGGACCGCAAGCTGCTACTCGGCTACCTCTGGGACACTCCACTCCGGCACCCCCAGCAGGAACACCCCCAGAGCCCGAAACCCCTCTAGCACAAGTACCACCCCCAGGGCTACCGGGGGAGGCCACAACTGGAACCCGAGAACGAGCACCCACCCCAACGCGGGCACCCCCGGAGTCGACGAACTGCTGCTGCGACGGCGGCGGCGGCGGCGGGAACGACGGGTGCGGCGGCGACGGTGGCGGAGACGACGGCTGCGACAGCAGGGGCGACGGCGGCTGCGACAGCAGGGGAGACGGTGGCTGCACCGGCTGTGGGGGAAGAGACACCGGGGGAGGGGCAGAAGGTGAGGACTGCGCCGCAAAACCACCAGATTCAGATGACTCCTCGACTGGGACAACCGACGGGAGAGGGGTGACGTGGGACACACCAAAGGGAGCACGATGGGGAGGGGGAGGGGGGGGGGCAGGGACCACCGGGGGAGGAGTGACCAAGAACAGGGAGGGGGTGACCGGGGGACCGCGGTGGGGGAAGCGACGGTAGAAGGAGACGGACTCGTCAAAGGTGACGTCGCGCGAGTGAAAGAACCGGTGAGACGGCGGGTGGTAGAAGTGCCAGTCAGATGCGTCAAGGGGGAAACCTAGGAAGACGCAGGGAAGGGTGCGGGCAGTGAGCTTGTCCGTGCCAGAGGCACGAACGTGAGCAAGGCAGCCCCAGACGTGGAACACAGACGCGTCACCAGGAGACCCGGTCCAAAGGAGGGTCGGCAAAACCTGCGGCTGCTGGAGGTGCGGCCACAGGTTAACCTGGTGAGCAGCGTAGCGCACGGCGAACGGCCACAGAAAATGGGGTGCACCGGCATGGATCATGGAGGTGCGAGCCACCTCCATGACCAAACTGATGCGTCGCTTAGCGACACCATTCTGCTGTGGCGAGTCCGGCAAGGTGTACGTCTGGGTGATGCCCTCCGCACGACAGAAGCGACCAAGGACACCTGAGGCAAACTCGCCACCACGGTCGGAGTGAAGACACAGGACAGGGAGACCTCGGTGGACACGGGCAGAGACAAGCCAGGGGATGAGAGCGTCAGGCACGTCGGCCTTGCGCTCCAGGGGAAAGACTGTGGTGTAGCGAGTGAAGTCGTCGACAAGGGCGAGGAAGTAGCGCTCTCGACGCGGCCCATGGACGGGGGCGGGGCCCCAGACGTCCATGTGCAGGGTCTGCAGCGACGCAGCGGTAGGGGGAAACGAGGAGGAGTGAGGGGCACGGCGAAGCCAACCCTTGACACAAGGCGTGCAAGGTGGGTCGGGGGAGGAGGGAAAAGTGGGGAAGGAACCAGAGAGACCAAGGACGAGACCGTGCTGGGACATATGACGCAGACGCGGGAGCGCAGCGTGACCTAGGCGGTGGTGCCAAAGGAGAGTCGGGTGAGTGAGGGACCGACAGGAGCAGGCAGCAGCAACCTAGGTAGACGCAGCCACCTGAGGGGGCGTCCCAGCTGGGGGGGTCACGGTGTTCAGGGTGAACAGGCCGGACACCGGGTCCCGGGGGAACGTGGACAGAGGGGAACCAGTGGCGGCCTCGGTACAGACAGCATACCGCTCGTGACCAGGGAACGTAGTGGTGACGCCAAGGTCCTGGAGGCAGCCGACACCAATTAGGTTCCTGGAGAACGAGGGGATATGCAGACCTGTGAGAGAGCCCGAAGGAACCGCCGGACAGGGGAGGGTGGTGGAACTGCGAGCGACTACTGGACCGCCAGAGGGATCAGCGAGAGAAACTGCAGAAGGAACAGGAAGCGGCGTCAGCGTAGTAGAGTCACGGAAGAAACACCGGGAAGCGCCAGAGTCCAAGGTGAAGGAAGGCGAAGCAGTGGCGTCTGGTGACGGGGCCACGGCGGAGGCACCAAGGCTAAACAAAGCAGTAGCTCCTACGCCTGATGCAGCAGGGGAGGCTAAGCTAGGCACACCTACACTAGGCGACCAGGAATAATAGGAGGGGAGCACACTAGAGTCATCTGCATACATCACATGCAGAGCAAAAACAATGGCATCCATGTCCATGTCAAAAATCTGAACTCTACGGCAAACTGTGCCAGTCTGGGAGGTCGGGCGAAGCGCTAACGAAACAGGTTGTCTAGGCGACGAAAGCAGCGAGCACTGGAGTGACCGATCTTACCGCAAACGAAGCCGCGGCGAGGACCGGTCTGGATCTGGTACTGATAGCGCACGCCTCCCGAACCGACACCTGGTACACCACCACGTGCACGACCACCACCAGCGCCAGGCCACCCGGGTGGGAGGGCACTCGCCTGCCTCGTCTCCGGCGGCTGCTGCGGCTGCTGTAGCTGCTGCTGCTGCTGCGGCTGCTGCTGCTGCTGCGGCTGCTGGGGCGGCTGCTCAGCTGGACCTGGCAGGGTCCCCTCGTCCACTCCACCACCAGACGACCCGACTCCACCACCACCTCCACTGGCACCCCCACCACCTCCGCTGGGCCCAGCCTTGGGGTGGCGGCCCTTCCCCGGACGGAACTGCGCTGCAGCGGCGGTATCAGCCACAGCTGCAGAACCATCGGAGAAGGTGCACTGAGCGGGGGCACAACCCTGAAAGATAGGGACCGGCACTGTACCGCTCGCCTGGGCGATAGAGCGGTGGCGGGTCTCAATAACAGTCCGGGTGTCTACGAAGTCTGTGAGGGTGAGGTCGCCGGGATGAATGCTAAGGAAGCGGTCATGAGCAACGGCAAGGCGGTTAGGGAGGCGGGTGGCAAGCAGGTAGAGGGTAGAGGTAAGGGGCGGCTGGTGGGCTCTAAGCTGTGCATTAGTGCAGGCAGCGCGCCAGGTCTCATCTATCGTGCGCAGGTGGGCAGCCAGGTCAGCGACAGTGGGGAAAGACGCAAGGTCAGGAAAGAGTATCGGTAGGATCAGGCGACCCACTGAGGCAGCAGGCGGGGCGGAGTAGCGCCGGATAACGGCGTCTAAGAAAGCCTGAGCGGTGGTGATAGACCTAAAGCGAGGACGCTCAGACGGGGGGAGGGCATTTCTGATGGCAAGCTAGGCGACAGCGTCACGAGAAAGCCAGACAGAGCGAGCGAGGGCAGCGGCTGCAGTAGACTCACGCTCAGCAGGTGTGGGGTCAGCGGGCAGCACAGCAGGGGGGTCTGGGCAGGGAAGCGTACCGTCAAGGTGTGCCGAGAGCGGGTGGCCATCCTGCCGCTGGCCAGTGAGGTGACGGCGGAGGTCGGCTAGCCACGCCTCGAACTCCAGAGGCTGGCCTTCAGCGTCGAAGCGAAGCTCTGCCGCCATCAGGAACAGTGTAGGGCAGGGCCAGGTGCGGCAGTGCAGCGCAGGGACGGAGAGCGGGCCGCACGCAGATCGGCGGCAGTCCGGCGGGAAGGTGAGCACGGGGGCCAGTAGCGGCGGGCGCGGGGCCGGTGTGGACAGGTGCGGGGGCCAGGGAGGACGGGCGCGGGGCCGGAGAGGACGGGCCTGGAACGGGCGCGGGGCCGGCTAGGACGGGCGGAGGGGCCTGGAGGACGGGCGCGGGGGCCGCTAGGACGGGCGCGGGGCCGGCTAGGGCGGGCGCGGGCGCAGCTCGGACGGGCGAAGGGGCCGCTAGGACGGGCGCGGGGCCGGTAAGGACGGGCGCGGGGGGCTGGTAGGACGGGCGCGGGGGCCACCAGGACGGGTGCGGAGCCGACTAGGACGGGCGCGGGGGCCGTGAGGACGGGCGCGGGGCCAGCTAGGGCGGGCGCGGGGCCGGCTAGGACGGGCGCGAGGGGCCAGCTAGGACGGGCGCGGCGGGGGCAGCTAGGACGGGCGCGCGGGCGCGGCTAGGACGGGCGCAGGGGCCGTGAGGACGGGCGCGGGGGCCGTGAGGACGGGCGCGGGGGCCGTGAGGACGGGCGCGGGGGCCGTTAGGACGGGCGCGGGGGCCGTGAGGACGGGCGCGGGGGCCGTTAGGACGGGCGCGGGGGCCGTTAGGACGGGCGCGGGGGGCGTGAGGACGGGCGCGGGGGCCGTGAGGACGGGCGCGGGGGCCGTTAGGACGGGCGCGGGGCCAGCTAGGGCGGGCGCGGGGCCGGCTAGGACGGGCACGAGGGCTGTGAGGATAGGCGAGGGGGCCAGCTAGTACGGGCGCGGGGCCGGTAAGGACGGGCGCTGGGCCAGCTAGGACGGGCACGGCTAGGGCCTAGGGCGGAAGCATGGGCGGGCGGCGGGACCTACCTACTGCTGATACCATCTCAAAACTGAATAATGATGAGTAGTGAGAGAGTACAAGTGAATATACCTAAGTGTTGTACCCTCTAAGGGGTGACCCTATACAGTCTATGCAAACATAACAGATATACATGTTTGACATCGACACCATCTATCGACAAACAAATTACAGAAATGCTAAGTATGAATTATACCACAACAAGGTCTTGCTACTACTGCTGCTGTGCCCCACTCGTGCCAGGTCAGGTGCCCCATGCAAGGAATTGTGGTGGCTAAGATTTTAGGCATCTAACGAACACATTTTTCACTGGATTATGGTAAACACGGTAACATGACCAGCGTGGCCGCCATCAAAACGTCTACTTCGTTTACTTTTGCTCGTTTCAGTCCAAGGCGTGACCCCTGCAGGCACACCGCACACGGCAAGAGAGGGTGAACCATGCTGCTCAGGGAGAGGCTTCGCTTGGAGGGCACAAGCACAGAGGCACAAGGGCAGAGGCCCTGGCAGTGGGCAGAATGCTCAGTGCAATAGAGCATGCGCGTGCCCGGACAGCAGAGGTGCGCGTGGCAAGGCCCACCTGCTTGTGGAAGGCGTCCCTGAGAGGCTTGCATGCGCAGCGCGAGAGGGCCTGCACGCACAGCAGCACATGAGATGAGGTACACGGGCGTGGGGTGAGGCAGCAGCACATGGATTGAGTCAGCAGCGCATGGATTGAGTCAGCAGCACATGGATTGAGTCAGCAGCGCATGGATTGAGTCAGCAGCACATGGATTGAGTCAGCAGCACATGGATTGAGTCAGCAGCACATGGATTGAGTCAGCAGCACATGGATTGAGTCAGCAGCGCATGGGCATGGCAGGTGTGAGCAAATGACACCACTGGGCATGGGCCAGGCGAGCAGGAAAACATCGGTACATATGTATGGCAGCCCGGTGCATGACTGCCAAGGCATGCAGTTAAGGGCCAATCGGCTTCAATGGACCTTGTGTACTTGCGACAGGGGCACGCTGGTGCTCCCCTGCTCCGGGGGCACGCTGTCTCCCAGCCACACGCCAAGCAGGTGGTGGCACTGCCACACAGCATACACACGCACCCACGCATGGCCCCCGTACAGACTCAGGGCCTGCGACTGGGGATGGGGGGGTGGTTGAAGTGAGTGGACAGAGGGGGACAGGAGTGGGATTAGACACAGAGAAAGGGGATAGAGGCAGGCTGATGCAAAGTGATGACGAAGGTTGGGACAAGGAGGCGGACGGCACAGGAAACAGGCAGAACGAAGGCGGCCGCATCGAGGACAGGTTGAACGAGGAAGGCTGAGGCAGCATGGCACCGTGGCATGGCGAGGAGATTGAGCCGTGCCAGAGCCTAGACTCGGCCTATGCTGCTCTCTCCACGACTCGAATCGCCCACTGCTGCCCTCACCTTGAGCTGCTGTGCAGCCGGTGCACCCAGTGCCAGCACGTGCAGCAGGCAGAAGGGCACACAGGGGTCCAGGGGGACAGCAGCACACACAGGCCCAGTGCCAGGTGCGGTGGTGGGTTGAGGCGGCGAGGGCGAGCTGTGCAGCTGGCGGAACCAGGGGTGTGCTGGGGGCATGCAGGGACGAGGGAGGGCAGGGGGAGTGGGAGGGGGGTGGTGTGACAAGGGTGCAGGATCACAGTATTCAGTGCTGATACATGCTAACCGTGGCCATGAGGACGTCCCAACAGAGAACCCTGCACCCAGAGCACCCTTATCCCCGCTCATATCAGCTGCGCTCCACACCTTGCCCATCCCCTAAAGCGCCTTCCCCTCCGCCCCTCAAGACACTCTCCCCCCCAGCGCACCGAGCATCATGGTGGCCGTGGGTCGCCTGGCAGCGTCCTTGGCCATCATGCTCTGCACCGCACACCGCCCCTCCCTCGACACACACGCCCCTTTCTCCTCCTCCTTCTCCTCGCCCTCTCGCCCCAGCCCCCACGCGCTCTCCCCAAACCCCGCGGGCAGCGTGGCCACGGCGTGCAGTGTGGAGGCGAGGCAGCGCGGCGAGGGCGAGAAGGGCAGGCGGCCGCACAGCAGCAGGTACGCCAGGGACGCGAGGGAGAAGACGTCGGCGGGCGTGCCGTAGGCGGCGTGGATGACGTCCGGGGACAGGTAGTCCTGCGACCCCACCACCTCCCACAGCGCCTGCTGCAGGTGCGGCAGCGGCACCGCCAGGGGGGCCGTGACAAGGGATGGTTGGGGTGGGGTGGTAACGGGAAGGGGCGAGGTCACAGGGGTGGGGATGCCGGGCACGGTGGCTGGGGGTATGGTGGGCATAGTTGAGCTCGACTGGGCCGACTTCTGCTTGTGGCCCTGCTCTGCCGTGTGCTGTGCGCTGCTCGAGGCTGCTGCTGCTACTGCGTCGGATGGGCAGGCAGCAGCAGTGGTGGCGGAGGGAGCAGGGAAGGCGGAGAGGGGCAGGGGCGGCAGCAGCGCGGCCAGGCCGAAGTCGATGAGCTTCACTTGGGGGGGGTCATGGGCGCTGCTGCTGCCGCTCCTGACCAAGAGGACATTCTGCGGGATGCGAGCATGGGGAACAAGGGAGGGAGGGAAGAAACGTGGAAAGAGCATCAGCAGAGCACGCATGGTGCACCGACGTGGGGTGCAGCAAGGATGGTATGCCGTTGCACGAGTGCATGGTCACTCCTACCACCACAAGACTAACCACCTCACATCCCCCTACTGCCCTCCCCACCCTCCCATGCCTTCCCACCCAACCCCCCCCATCGCGGCGCTCTCTCCCCCCACCTCGGGCTTGACGTCGCGGTGCACGACCCCGTGCGCGTGGCAGTGCGCCAGCGCGTGCAGCAGCTGCCACACCACGTTCCGCGCCGCTGCCTCGCTCGCATGGCCCACGCTGGAAGGACGCCACGCACAAGGGGGGTAAAAGACAGGTCCTTGTTTTGGTGGCGGCACGAGGTGCCTTGAAGGACAGGCAATGTACATGGGGCGATGAACAGCGCGCTCCGAAGAGCGACGATCTTCCCCGCATGCCGCACCCGCAACAGAGGGATGCGGGCGCCACTGCGAGACGGGCGGCACAATGACGAGAGCTCGCGGGTCCGAGAGAAATGGCTGTGGCGATCATGAGGTGATTGCTGATAATACGTAACATGCCAAGGTCCACGGGCGTTGTGTCACGCATTAAGCGACCTCGGTGTGACACGATGTTCTCTGTAGTCCCTACCGCAATGCAGCGGATGCGACTAAAGCGTACGCCCTCAGTAGCGCTATGCTTTCCTTCCGCCGCACGCGCTGAGGCCCAAACGCCCCGCCTTTCTCTCGTTCATCCGCGGCCGCACCCACCTGCATCGACAGATCCGCTGCTTTCCCGCCACAGCCCCCCACTGCCATCCACCCACCACGACTGCTGCTCGCCCTAGTTGGCGTTTCTTTCGACATGAGACGTCCTTTAATGGTTCCCTGGCGCACTGCGCAGCTCTCCAGCGCCCGGCCTCTCACTCACCCTGACGCCATCATGAGGTCCATGAGCTCGCCGCCCTCGCACTCCCTGCCACAACCACACGCACGGACGAGCGCACGGGCTACACACGTCGGCCGAGATGAACGCACACAAGAGAGCGGCGTGAGAGGCAAACGACGCGGCGAGATGAAAGCGGCATTGTCGGGGCGCGCACGGCCAAGCCGCTAGCTGCGGCGCTTGGGAAATGCGCGTTTGCTTTGAAGAGGAAAGGAACGCGGTGGAAGGAGCGAGGGCGAGGGGCGAGCAGCGGGGTGCGGGGCGGCGTACTGCAGCACGAGGTAGACGTTGCCGTGGTCCTCGTACGCGCCCTCGAACGCCACCACGTGCGGGTGCGCCGGCAGCAGGCGCTGCACCGCCACCTCGCGCCGCACCGCCGCACGCATCTCGTCGGTGGTGAGCTGCTCGGGTGGCAGACGGGGGATGCGAGGCGCGGGAAAGACAAGAACGCGAGAGCGGCAAACGCTGAAGCCATGCCCGGGAGGTACCTCATTCGCGCGGCGGCCGCGCTGCCACGCGTTGGCGCGCAGCCGCGGGACGCACCGCAGGCAGCGGCGCGCAGGTGACTGATGGCGGTGAGTGATACGGCACACTAGACTGGGTGCGCAGGGCGCGGTGGTGGGAGGACCAGGGAACGGCAGAGCAAGGCTCAGACACGCCACATGACACGACACACCAGAGGTTTGCTACCACGAGCACTAGTAGTACCAGTCTGCCATCCCACCAGCACCTCTCCCGCGCTTCCTCACCCCACAGGCGCGCCCCTCACCTCCGCCTTTCGGATCGTCTTCACCACCACCGGCTGCCCCCGCTCCTCCGCCCTCCCCCGCCGCCCCCTCCGCGCGCCCTTGCGCGCCGTCGCTCGGCGCACCTCCCCCGTGCGCCCGCGCCCGACCAGGTCGCCGATGTCGTAGTCCGCGCTGATGCCCCGCTGGAACCCGAACCAGCACGCCTTCCCGCTCCCGCCGCCGCTCCCCGCACCACTCGCCCCGCCGTATCCCCCGCTGCCATTCACTCCGCCATCGGCGCGGGGATAGCTGATTCCGCTGCTGCTCCAGCTGCGGCTGAGGGCCCATCCTCCGCCCGACGGCCCTCCCCTTCCCCACCGCCTTGCGCTGCCGTGGGGGCTGGCCGCGCTGTCGCTGTCATGCCGGGGGGCAACGGGTGCGGACGCGCCGTCGGAGGCGGCGGGGGCACGCGGGGAGGATGAGAGCGCATGGCACCACGATGGCAGCGGCGACGCGGCGTTGGCGACGAGCGAGTGCCCCGAGTGCCGCTCGTTGTCGGAACGAGCCTCGCCGTCATCCTCGCTGCTCGCGCCGCTCCGTCCCCTCCTCTCCGCCGCCCCCAGCCCTGCCGCATTGCCCCCCGCGTCACCGGCAGTGCGCGCGCCCCGCGGGGGGCTCCACCACTCCGCGCTGCTGGCGCTCGTCGCCGACCGCCCTGACGTGTTGCCGCCGTCCGCGCCTTGCCACGCCGCGCCGCCCTGCGCCTCGCCCCTCATGGGCAGCGGCAGCGGCGGCGAGGAGAAGGCGGTGGTTACCAGTGGAGCGGGGCTCGCGAGTGAGACGGGAGGGTGTGGTTGGTCCGCACGGGAGGTTGGAGAATCAAGGCGCGAGCGAGAGGGGAGCGGCATGGGAGGTCGAGTCGGGGATGCGTGCAGTGCTGGTGCTGGTTGGCCCGCCGCCGGGGCCTTTTCATGGCGATGGTGCGGCCTTTTGCCGACCTCCCCCAGCCCCTCTACCACGGGGTCGGCGCGCCTGCCACTACCAGGCGGAGTCGTAGCGGTACTACTAGAATGCTGGCGGGACGGCGAGGGCATTTGGCATGGGGGAGTGGCGACGGCGGTGGTTGAGGGCAGCCAATGGTGGCGCACCCACCGCCGCACGTGCATGGTGGGCGAGTCGCCCTTGGGAACCATGGCGACGCTGCAGCGGCGCTATGCCGCGCGCACACGCATTACTCGAGTCTCGGATTCACAAGCGTGCACGCAAAATGGTTACGACCCAGAATTGCCGTCTAGCGCGTAACACGAGATCACGGTTGACCTGCAAAATGCCAGAGAGTTCAAGTGCGGCCGGCAGGGTGGCTTGACGATGCGAATCGCCACAGGTCAACAGGTAGGTGACGCGACGTGACTAGAACACTTCTGTTATCCAGCTAACTTCCAACCCGCCCTAATCTCGTACTGCACTACCTAGAGATAGAGAGAGGTGTATGTCGCCTGGCGCACTCACGCCATCGCTGGGCGTGCAACCATGGAATGGAATGCTGCGTTCTGCCAAGCCACCGCCCAGACTTGCTTTCGGGAGGGAGGGACGGAGCTCAAAAGAGGCTCTTCCACGGAAGCCATAGCCGCTCGACCGATAGGCCAGGAGGAGGAGCCTCGCTCGCGCGTGAACGGCACGATTGCGATGGCGACAAAAGTCCACCGCCATGCTATCGTTGTTGGCCATGTGCCAGGCCAGGTGCCCCCGACCCGAGGCGCACAACCAAATTCAGCTCGCAATGGGGATGGAGGGGTGGGCTTGGGTTGGGATGGGAGAGGCGATTCAAGGAGCAGCATTCAGCGCAGCGATTGCCTCGGCCTTTGAGCAAGCGAAGCGGTAGACCAAAGACACTATGAAGGGGCAAAGTGATGCAATGAAGGGGCTGCTGCTGCTGCAATGGCTGGCGGTGAGGGAGGGCAGCACTGACCGCACGTGGCATGATGGATGGATCCGATATGCCCCGTGCAGGCACCAAGGGTCGCAGCCTTTGGGAAATATCTTCGCTAGTAGCGGCCCTGGTAAAATATACAGTCACTCAACGGAAATAAAAACATTTTACCGTAAACATCCGTAACATAGCACACTTGCGGTACTCCTGAAAACCGTGCTTTCCTGGGTTCAGAATAAACCGCCCTTAGTAGCCAGTCACACATAGGTAGCTGTTATGGTAGTCTCTGAATGGAATCGAGCAATACAATAGAGAGGTAGTGATTCAAGCGTCGAATACAGATGAGGCACAAAACTAAATACAAGCACAAGAATGTCGAGGAGGGCTACGAAACACTTGCGAGGTGGTTTGGGTGCCCGGGGTTTGGAAGTGTCAAACACGACTCCACGTGTAGGCTTGGGGCAGGGTTTCAAATAGCTGACGAAATCCGTCTGATGGTATGAGAATCAGACTCGTTTTTTTCTGTTTATCTGATTTTTGGATGGGGTAAAATCTTTGGTCTGAACGTCAATACTTGTTATAAAATTTCGTCTGAATTCACAGACTTCAGTCTAGCAGTTCATCTGAGATTTCAGATGGCGAGGATAACCTCGTCTGACAGCGACAATTCCACACACCAATCCCATTGACCCACAGGCCCAAGTTGGTAATTTCGGCCAAATTCCTCACACCAGAGACATTCCTCCCCCAACGCCCCTCGCAATTTGTTGTTTTCCGCTAAGTCCCGCACACTAGATACAATCCTCCCCCAACGCCCCTCGCAACCTGTTGTTTTCGGCTAAGTTCCGCACACTAAATATTTCGGCATAGTGCTCCCAACCTAATTCCCGATGTCTCCCACTGCCAGGTACACTCCATACTCCTTGCACCCCAAAAAAATTACCTGAAGTTCCTCCCACACCCTGCCGCATTCCTGTGTTTTTTTTACGACGGGCAAGATCGAAATTAGCCGCGATTTGCGCCAGTGTGGCAAAACACCAAGCCACGAAGTAGAACATGACACGACCAGTGGGGTGCCAACTAGCAGGGGCCAGGGGCCCAAGCAAGTGTGGGCTAGCGAAGATGGATGACGCTCAAACACCCTGTCTGCTCAAATATCAGTCCCTCAATCAGCTAACCCAGTGTGTGCATGTGAGTTTCGTCTGAAAGTTCAGACATCGCTGTACGTTTTGTCTGAAACCTTAGACCCGAGAAATGTGCTCGTATGATGGTCAGACGAAAATTTGAAACCCCGTCTGATTTTCAGTCAGGCTTAAACTTAGCAAGAACCCTGGCTTGGGGGTCTCGAACGCAGTTTGGGACCTGGGTTGTCTAGCCGAGCCTGGACTTCCAGAGTTCAGAGAAAGGATTAGCGAGTCCAGAGTTCGCGGCATTAGCGAGGGTGTGCTAAGGAAAAGGATTGTCCTTACACCTTCCCTCCTCCTAGACGAGACTACCCACATCTGGGTCAGATCGGTATTGTAAATAGGGCTGCAGAGGGTGGTTGTTGAGGGTAGATGCTGGGACCCACATGTGGTCGTCGCACGTTCGGTCAACCCAGCAAACCAGAAACTCCAAAATCAGTTTACCGTGGTTGCGGCGTTTTCTGTGGGAGAGAATCTTTTGAGGTTCGGTAGTTGGCTTAGGAACGGGCCTGATCAACAGATAAATCGTTGACCGTCAAGATCAGACATTTTCGTAACGAGCTCTTGTAGGAGGTTGACATGGAAAGAATCGTGGATACGCTAGCCACCCGGCAGCAGAAACCGTGCTGTGACATGTGTCATCATCCGAACAACCATAGAATCTTGGGCGAAGTTTGTGTGGCAAACCCAACCCTAAATTCTTGGTGTCAAGAAGGACTAATTGCCTAGGAGAGATCCCGTCTATGCTTGTCGGCGTACAGTCGGGCGGTAAAATTGGCTTTTGAAATAGCCTCAGTAGCCTTTTTCTGTGCGGTCTGAAAGTCTTTGATGGATGGCTGTGACCGTGAGACGAGACTCTCAACTAAGGGTGTAGTGGGAGTCGTGGGGTTTATACCGTAATTCAGGTAGAACGGGGAGTGGGCAGTGGTGAACAAAGGAGCGTTGTTATACGCAAAATCGGTCAAGGGGAGAGAATCTTCCCATTGAGTCCGGTCTGTACAAGTTGTCTGTATTAGCTGATCCATAATCTGATTTGTCCGTTCAGTCTCATCGTTGGTTTGTGGGTGGTAAGCCATGGATAATTGGAGACGTCAACCGTACTGCTCCCATATTTCAGTCTGGAAGTTGGACGTAAATCTGGGGTCACGATCGCTCACGGTTGCTTTCGGGATTCCATGCAGACGAACAACGTCGAGATGAACAGGTTGTCAGTTTGCTCGGCTATAATCGTCGTTCGGCAGGGCGCGGAATGATTTTTTTTCATGAATCGGTCAATGACCACGAGTATAGCATCGTCTTTTTTATGCGCTGGCTAGTAGCCCTGTCATGAAGTCCATGGACACGTGTGTCTAGGTCTTGGTGGGCGGTTCTAATGGTTGCAGTAATCCAACTGGCTGTTGTCGAGAGGATTTCATGAGTTGGAAGGTGGGGCATGAAGCCACGTATTGTTGTACGTTATGGCTTGCATTCGGCCAGTAATAATGGCATTGGAGCAACCCTAAAATGTTTATAAAAAATAGCGTCATGTACCTCGTGCAGTAGTAATTCCTGTAAGAGGCCGTAGGATGGAACCCAAATTCGGTTAGTACCAGCTTTTAGGTGGTAATGCCCTTGTTGAGTGGTTAGAGCCTGGTGGCTGTTAGAGGTGAAGAATGGGTCAGTAGTATAGCTGTAGTAGTATGGCTGCTGTATGGGCAGTAGGGCAGGAAAGGGCTCCAACAATATTATTTGCCCCTTTCTTGTAGGGGATGCGCATGTGGAAGTTGGACTCGAGATATTCAAGCCAATGAATTTGACGTGGATTGAGGGTTGGTTAGTCTTGGATGAACTATAAGGACTTATGGTCTATTCAGATAGTGATGTCGGCACTTGATAGGTAGCAGCGCTAGGTCTTGAAAGCGTTGACTATAGCAAGCATCGCCTTGTCGTGAATCGGTGATTCCGTTCAGCGCCTTGGAGTTTTTGCGAGCTGTAGGCGATTGTTTGACGACCTTTGCCAAAATCTTGTAGTAGAATAGCACTAATAGCGATGTCGCTGGCGTACGTAACCAGTTCATAAGGGCGGTCAGGATCGGCGATGCGAAGAACAGGTGATGTCATGAGGAAAGTCTTCACCTGGACAAACGCAGCTTGCTGCCTCTCCCCCCATTCATAATAACTCCCTTGTGCAGCAGGTCATTTAGCGGGACAGTTGACGTCGGACCTTTATGCGGGTAATTTAAATAATGAACCCCATAAATCTTTGCAGCTCCTTAATGTTCGTGTCGCACGAATCTCACATGCGGATTACATTGAGATTCGTGGGACAACCCTGAAGTATAAGATGTGAGGAATCAAGTCAGCTGTTGTGTATAGTTTTATGCAAAGTAATTGAGAGTACAGTGATGGGTGGGGGAAGTTCGGGAAACCAACATTTGGAATGTCGAGACAACTGGCAGGGGAACAATTGGGGCGAGGACAGGTCAATGCTGACGCCAGTGGGTGGGTTACCAAGCATGCAGGAGTGCGAGTGGGGCTAGGAGGGTGGCGGAGTTTACGGAGCCATCACGTCGGTGTAAATCCCATAACAGGCGAGACGGAGGTAGTAGAGGGCAGGTGGGTGCGCGCTTTGGATGGTTCTGGTAGAGAGTATCCTACAAACTGCTAGCTCGTAGTTATGTAGCTACAATTGTTTGTTCTCTCGTATTCATGGGAAAGCTTGTATGCTGCAATGATAGTGGAATCATTCTGAAGCAAAGCTAGATCCATGCAGAGAGGCGAAACATAGTAGAGCTAGGATTCAGAGAGGCGATTCCTAGTGGCCTTTTCTTACAAACAAGAGTCCATGAAGGGTATGTCGCTTCGAAGCAGAATTAGATTGCCAGGCGTAGAAGATCTTCCTGAGCTGGTGGAACGGAACCCGCCAGTGGAGGAAGAAGGCGAGGTTGGTATGACAGAGCCAAGGGTAGATTTTGAAGATCTACGTGATCAGGAATCCGGCCCAGGAGAATAGGGGGACGGAGAGCGTCCTTGGGGATCCGACGCCTTCGCGATGCGTGCGGATAGGTGCGGAGGAGGGTAGTTGCCGTTGAAAAGGCAGGGTGCGCATGCAACGCGCGACACGGAGGAGATCAGAGTAAGACGCGGGGGCCCCCGTTCCACGGCTAGAGCGCCAGGTGGCAGCGGAGTCACAGAGAGTGGTCGCGGGGCAGGGAGAAGTTTCTCCGCGAAAGGACAGTCGCGTCGGTCGAATTGGGAGGAAGGGGCGAAGTATCGCTACACGAGCCTGCCAAAAGTGGAAGTGCCCGCGCGATTCACTGGCGATCAGGAATGTGGTCCACGGTTCAAGAGTTATGCGATGCATGTCCGCAGCGAGAAGCACTGCTGGGAGCTGTACAGTCTAGACTTGCGACACTTCTTCCGGTTGGTGGGAAATACTCTGTCGGGGGAGGCGAAGGCCTTTTTTC